GGCAGTTCATTTAACTATTATATATGATGTACGTTTTTGGGGGTAGTTAATGAAAGTGTTCTAAAACGTGACATTAATTTCTTGATGACCTAATAGATACTACAATTAACATAGTAATTTTGGATCTGTATTAATAAATGCAAAGTGTTATACAGGAATCTTCATTTTTGTAATCCTAGAATGGTCTTGCACCTTTGCATATGGCTGCCCAAGGTGATCATGTAGACTGTGCTAGGATCTTGCTCAACAACAAGGCACCAGTAGATGATGTAACTGTAGTAAGTATTTTGATTGAGGGTTTTTGCCAAACTTTAAGCTTGATTTTGTATTTTAGATTTAACTAGTTGTGACCTGCAAAATATTTGTGATAGTTTTCATGTCCTTTGCTTGAATTTTCCTTATTATATCATTTAAGCTATCCTTTCTTGCAGGCATTTTGTGTTAGATCGATAAATCCTGGTCTATTTGAAATATCTTATGAGGTCAGACAAACCGACTCACATAGATGTAACTTTATTTAATAAAACTACATGTAAAGTAAACACAAAAGTAAAGTAATGGTACTTATAATAGTGTTCAGAGTATGAAACAGTTTTATGAGTTGAAAAGAAGAAACTCACAAAAATGAAGAATATAACCCATTGTAAAGAAAAAGGTAGTTAAAAGGTGTTCATATCAGTCTATGAAATGAACTGAAGCTAAGTTATTGCAAAGTAAAGTTGTAATGAACGCAAACCAGGTTAAACATGCAGAAACATCTGAATGCATGTTCACAAAGTGGTATAGCTGCATTGTAGCATGCAAATGAGCATGCAACATCCCTCCACCAGTAGGAATGTGACACACCCTCCTAGCACAGCTGACTCCTTCTATACTGTAAAACATATTTATCACTTTTTTGATTTGGCACTTGTGTGTAATGATGGGTATTTTTTTTCTTGCTTGTGAACTTTTCAGATTTAGGTGTTTTTCAGTGTAAGTACCTATAAAGACATTCTCTCACAAATGTCAGTAACTTCCAATTTGTCTGATGTGAAACAACATAACTTTGTTCATGCTAACCTACCAACTATATTGGCATTGGGTTTGTCTTTGTCTGTTGGGAGAGGTGATGGCTTTTGTGCAGTGGGTGATGGAGTCTTTCATGTAGCTTGGGCCTTCTTTTTGTCCCTGACCTACCTCGGCCTATGTTTCTCATTTGTGACAGAAGAGATTTTGCCAGTTTTTTTCCCACATACCTTTGCCTTATCTTATACCCATATTGTCTTGAATCTACATCGGGCTTTTTTCAATTTTGTGATCAGGCTCCTCAGGTATGTTTTTTAAATATTCAAATATTTTTTACACTACTTTTGGGCATACTTGTCCCATCCTCCTTCCTTTGTTACCTCATATGACTAGGCATGACTTCATGCTGTGTTGCTTTTCATAGATTCCTAAACTCTAGAGTCTTTTTTTCAGATTTGGGGGTCACACTACTCTTTTCTGTTATTTTTCCTTCTTTTCATGGTAATCCACCATTTCCATGGGATTTGTGATAGATGCTTATTCACTTATCTTTTCTGCAGTGACATGGTTATCTTCCTCAACATTTTCATTTCTTATTTAGTTGATCTTTTGCTAGAGTTGGTGAGGCATGATGTCCTTGTTACTCAATTTCTTTTGCTTCTCATGTATCTCATATGTCTTCTTCTGCCTCCTTTCATCTGCCTGTATGAATTTAATGGTATGCTTGTATCTCTGGTGTCATATGTTATGCTCTATTCTCACTCATTTACTGTCTCTTCTTTGCCTCTCTCTGTCTTCTGTCCTCCTACTTCTTCTTCTCTCTCTCTGTCTCCTGTCCTCCTACTTCTTCTTCTCTCTCTGTTGGCACTTCCCACCATCCTTCCACGTATAGGCTCAGATTCAGTTGGGCCTGTTTCTTTGGGTTTATGGACTATTGCCCTCCATCTGTGACCAATTGTTGAATACTGATATTTCTATGAGAGAGCCTTAACCTTCATTTTTTCTTCTCCTCCAATGTCTCCTGTTCCTATTATTTTACATCCTCCAAGGGATCTTGTTTCTTGCCAACATTGGTCCATGGCAATGTTGTTCCTAATGACTACAAGGGAAAGATGAGAAACCAACCGAGACATGAAAGATGTAAGACTCAACATCTATCTACAGATTCCCTGGGAATCACAAAAAGTTGGGAAGAAAACCTGGAAAAGGATGAAAACCCCATCCAATAGTGAACTTTCTCATGGGGAATTTCTCATCCTACTGTGATCTTTCACTCCAGGTCTTGGGATGACTGAGGTGTAAATTTTGGATATTTCTTTTCCTTTTGGCTCTGTCCCAACAAGCCTCATACACCCATCTCAGAGGAGTTACATCTCACACCCATTATTTCATTCATCATTCATATGGGTGTTTTTTTGTTCATATGTCTTTAGGGCCCAGCCTTTTACTCTTCTTTTGAGGGACATGGAGCAATTGGTTTCCCATGCCATATCTTTTCACTGTGCAGTAGGTTTTCTCTCATTTCGGGACTTCCATGGAATCATATCCCCTTAGGTCATGCCCATTTGCAATGATTACAATGGACAGCACGTTCTCTGGATCCTTGCTTTTGATTCCTCATCCTCAACCATTCTCCTTCCTTACTGAAAAACTTCACTTGGTGACTTGATAAACCTACTCTTATAGTGGGTATTCCTCTTCCTCTCATCCTGGTCTTCTTTTTCCATATGCCATCTTGACGAGATGGGGGACAGTTCTCGACTCTCACGTGAATTTAGGTCATTGGTACCACAATATCTCGACCCTTCAAATCCATTTCTTAGACTTTTTTGGCAGTACATTGAATTTTGGATTTTTTTAGGATGGTTCATAGACATCTCTTGGTGATACATACAATCAACTCTGCAGTTGTTGCCTTTATCAATCACCAGTGAGGACATTTTATCTCACTCTCCCTGTTTCTACACTATCTACCTCCTTTTCTGGGCCCATTTTATACAAGGATGTCTAATAGCTTGTTCTATTCCCAGTACCCTGAGTTTTGTGGATTGTCTCTTGAGGCTTGCCAAAATATGGATTGGTCCCTCATTCAAGCCCATAGCTAGGTCTAGAAGTGGGGAGAGGGGTCTTTTTTTTTGTCCAAAGTGGAACTCATTTCATGTGTAACTTTAGTGCCCGAGGACGAAAAAAGTTCCGAAATATATAATAGTTCTTTTATTATCACTGCACATAAACCTTTCTAGTAAATTTCCTCTGATAAGTATGAAAGTGCTATTTCTGCATGTATACGCAGTGTTACAAATGTAATTATATAATGAGAGGCCATCATCAAAGAATGGAAAAACAATGTCAGGAGTGGAAGGTTCAATCACCCCCACCCCTGAATCCCCTGTCTACAGGCTTGCCTCATTCCTCTAGTGTTCAAGTAGCTCTGCTCTCATCTGGACACTCTTCTTTTTGATGTTCTCTTCTCAGTAACCTACTTCCCTTTTTTTCTGGTCCCCTGTTCCTCTTCCCTCAACTTTAGTTGGGGATGCATTCCATAAAAACTAGTACAACTTTTGTCTCCATGCCTACCCTCCTTCTCATCTTCTTCCTTGTGTTTTTCTTCATTTTGGATACTCCTGAGTCCTCCTGATAACTTACTGACCAACATAGCCATGGTTCTCTCTATTGCACCTTCTCCTGTTCTCTCCTCCTCTTCCTCTACCTCTTTCACTCTCTCTGCTCCTTAAACCTCACTCCTTCTTCTCTCATCCATCAGTGTTGTCACTCTGACTTCATGTCTGGGTTTGGACTGTTCCCTTGCGAAATGTTCCAGTCTCTCTTTAGATTTAATCCTGGCTCCTGGCAACAGTATTTAATAATCAAGAAGGATACCTGTCTGGAAAAGTGACACAAGTGCTTCTATGACATATCCAGGAAAAGAAGACCAGTTGTAGAAAACTGTATGAATGGTACATAGTCAGGGAAAAATGGTGACACTTGACAAAGCATATGTGAACTTTAATAACTGTAACAACTCTTGTGCCATTTATTAATGGTCAGTGGGTGTAAAATACTTCCAAAGTGGCACACGGCATGTCACAAAACCTTTTCAAAGGTATTCATGATCACTCCTGGATACTGTGACAGGGGGCAAGTTAGGGATCGGAAGTGTAGATAAAAAGGTCAAAGTGAACTCTTATTACTATCAAACCAATGTTCTGGACACTTTGTACTACACAGAAATACTGACTTTGTATAGAAACAAGCCCAATAGTGTATGGATTCACCAAGATAAGACTTCCAAACACACCTCCCATTCAACCACCACATACCTCAAGCAGCTAGTAAATGAAAGGGGTATTCATGTTGTTCTTTAAAAAAAACATATGTACTAGTCACCAGATGCAACGCATATGAATTTTTGTGTGATCAAACTTTTAAAAGGAGCACTTGTAAACTAGGTGGATTATGGAAAGCCTGCTAGGAGGAGTGATGTGCTTTGGACATCACAGGTTTACATAGAAATCCTTTGCAATTGAAAATGTGCTCTAGGGCTATTTTAAAGATGCAAGTCATCGAATAGAATATGACCAGATGTAGGTCATAGACAGTAATGACATGGTGAGGCTACATAATTGTTTTAATACAACATACTCAACTTCTTGGTCTTTCCAGTTCCCTCTGATGTGATTTCTTAGCTAATTCTTTTATTTTTTGATTATTTGAAAACTTAAGTTTATCAAGTATATACCTTTTTTGTCATCTACATAACACAATATCCTTGAAAAAGTTAACAAGTTAGTAAGGGAAAATTTTTCTTTAGTGATTTTTCTTTAGTTGATTTTCTTTTATTATAATGTATTTCATTTCACTAGATGATTTTCCAAAGCTTCTTTTATCAGATTTTCTAGAATTTATTCATCCTACAGAAGTAAGACTAACAGGTGTATAATTTTTATGGTAACTTTTATTATCTCATTTAAAAGTAAGAGTTGCATTACAGATACATAAACATTTTAAGAACTCTAATTTTTGATATTCCTGAGTTATGCTGTGGCTTCAGACATTCCCAGGATTAGGGGTATTTCATGTCAGGGTCTGATCCAGAGCAGTTGCATCTTCACAGCTTGATGCATTATGTGTTTGTCTTAAGATAATGAATTTCGTTTTCATTCATAGTTTGTGAGCAGTAATTCTTGTATATTTGAAGTAATTTATGAATCTCTAATTTATTTTGCTCAATATATGAACATCAAGTGGTCAGTAATTATGTATGTTACACACTCTTTATGACATTAACAGTGTACAGTTTGTGTTCTTTTTCATCTTTTTGTAAAGCTTTTTTTTCTCTGTGTACTGTTTCTTTACAAACTCAGAATTAAAATTGGAATTTACATAAACTGTTTGAAGTAATTTTCTTTTTTATTATTGTAGGATTCTCTCACAGCTTTACATGTGTCAGCTCACTGTGGACACTTGAGGGTTGCAAAGTTATTGCTTGACTGTGAAGCTGATCCAAATGCTAGAGCACTTAATGGGTTTACACCTCTGCACATTGCCTGTAAAAAGAATCAGTTAAAGGTGGTAGAACTTCTTCTTGACTATGGAGCATCTATTACAGTCACTACAGAGGTAGATGTTCTAGCTACTAATGGTGTAGATTAATATTTTTGAAATATTGAATGTTGGGGATTGTTGAAGTAAATAATTGAAGTGTAAGTCATATTTCTTGGACATGCAACCTAATATTATGATATATGTTGTTCATTAGAGCAGTAACATAAATGGAAATAGTGGTGATTAACTTAAGGTATCACCAAAATGGGTGGGTTTTTTAAATAAAATGGATAATGGAGATAGTGGTAATTAACTTAAGGTATCACCAAAATGGGAGGGTTTTTTAGATAAAGTGGATAACACCTGATGATTAGTTTAAGGTTTTGTTAAAATGAGATAGGTTCTTAGGTGTTATCCACTTTATCTATCAGGTGAATGAAGATTATCTCCAAATGATTGGGTTGAGGCAGAAAGTATTTAAAAAATGTATTACCTTGCTATTCATTCATATTTATGAAAGTAGAACCATACTAAATGTTTTTCTGATACAGTCCATCTCAAGTATGATATGGAAATTAAAAAAAAGTACCAAACTATTCAAGTTTGAGGTATAGATGTTCCTTTAGGTCTCTTACAAAGGCTTATAATATTGTGTTTAACTTATAACTTTACATGAATGTCATACATGTTTCTTTAAAGAATAAGGAATTTTCTGAAATGCACATTCCTTACCTTAGTGCTGTTCTACTTTTCACTGATTCCTTAGACTTTATATTTCCTATCATTATAAATTAGAATTATATTAATTACATGAAGACAAACTTAAGCAACAGCAGCCTTTGTCCATCATTGTTGTTATACATTAAACAAAATGTTAAGTTTTGTAACTCAAAATAGTAAACTAACACCTTTTACTCTAGCTTTCAGAGGCTGACATATGCATATAGTCTCCATAAATTCACTTTAGTTTATAATGGGCAGTATTACAAATATTTCATTCTGACAAGGTACTCTCCCTTCGCTCACAAGATTAATTTTTATAGTTTTGTGCTGTCCTCTATATGGGATCTTTTTTAGAAATGCATGCCACAAGCCTTCATCCTCCCTCTGTTGGAATCCACTGTTCCAATATGTCTCTCATGCAAATCATCGTGCATCACCTCTCCACCAATAGGAGAGCACTACTATCACATGACACATGTGACTCCCTCTACGCTTCATTACTGGACCATCACTTCTCGTTTGGCAACTGTCATGTTCAGACGTTCTTTTTGCATTGTTCAGTTACCTTGATGTGGTTTATTTTTTTTTATATTTAATTCAGTTTATTTACCACACTTCACAGTTCTGAAGTTAATATTTTGATATAGCATTACTACCTAATTTCCTGCTTACGAATTCCAAAGTTACAGTCACCACTTCGGGTACTTCACCAAAGTCTGATGCTGTATTTTCAACCATGGGTGCAGGCGACCCGTCAGGGGATATATTGTCGCTTATCCGTCTGGAGATTGAGCAGTATATGAGCCAACCCCTCTCGCCTACTTCTGCCCACTTCCTCCTGAGCCTTTCGGGCCAGGTCCGAATGAAGTCTATTTTGGTCATTTGTTTCTGGCCCTGGAATTTGCTGTGTCTTCCCTTTCGCTGCCTGAGGATTCAGCTCATCACTCATTGGTCTTTTCAGACTTTATCCCTCAGATATGTGATGTTTTCTTCAACACCCAACTCATTTGGGTCCAACTTTCTCCTCTCTGGCTCCATTCTATGGAACAGGCTATTCGGAAAGCCCTGTCTGTTCCCTCACTTATAGCTTGCGAGGTTCTATCACTTTTGGGGATGTCGTCCTCCATGACCCCTGTCATACCCCTGGGCAGAGCCCATATGCGGTTTTTTTCAATGGGTTCTTCACGATTAATGGGACTTCGTCCGGGATCCCTTGGCTACTCCTATATCTCTACCCTCATCCCTTGTAGATGATCTCCATTGGTGGTTAAACAGGGCCCACATGTCAGCAGGAGTCCTACTTTCTCCTCCGTGGCCAGATTTACATCTGTTCACGGATGCATCCCTTCAGGGCTGGAATGCATGGGTGGATCACCAGGAGGTTTTGGGTCGTTGGTCTGTGGAGGAGAGTTCCATTCACATCAATGTTCTCGAACTCCTGGCTGTTCGTTGGACTTTGGATTACTTTTTTCTCTTGCCAGCCACCGCTTGGTTATGATCCATTCCGACAATTCTACTGTGGTGGCTTATATCAATCACCAAGATGGCACCAGGTCCAGATGACTATGTTTCCACACTATGGATCTTCTTTATTGGGCCCAAACACATCACATTCGTTTGATGACATGTCATGTACTGAATGCTTTCAATCTCATTGCTGATCATCTTTCCTGACCAGATTGCATTTATCACATGGTGTGTACCCTGCATCCTGCTGTTTTTTGGTGGCTCTGTCTGCATCTGCGTATGCTCCATGTCAATGCATTCGCCACCACCCTTAATTACAAATGACCTCATTTTTTGGTTCCCGATCCTTGAGCCTTGACTGTCACATCTTCAGCCAGGATTGGTCTCATCTGTTCCTTTATGTTTACCCTCTCATCCATTTACTTCATAGGGTGGTCTCTCTCATCCAAGCCACTCCATGCACAGTCCATCTGATTGCTCCTTACTGACCTGCTTAACCTTGGTTTTCTTGGTTGCTCCAACTGCAAGTGGTTCCTCCCCTTCCTCTTCTCTTCTGTTCCAACCTGCTCCGTCAACTCAAATCACTGAAGCTCCATCCCGCACCATCCGTCCTCCATCTTCACACCTGGCTTTTGTCAGGTCCTTGGTGAGGAATTCTGGTTTCTTTTGCAAAGTGGCTTCACATTTAGCCTGTTTCATTCACCCTTCCTCTTTGGCTGTTTATCAATGCAAATGGAGCATTGATCACTGGACATTGACTCAGGATTTCCGGTCCTCTCACCCAACAGTTACCTGTATTTGCAGTCTCCTCGATTTCTGGGTTTCAGGCAGTGTTATCCCATACATTCCACTTTTCCTGCTTCCACAAGATCTTTGCTTCTCCTGTCCTATCCATGTTGATCCATTCCTTCCAGCTCTGTTGGCCACTGAGGTGTCTGTTGCTCCCAGACTGGGACATTAATGTGGTCCTTCATGCCCTCACTTTACCTCCTTTCGAACCACTCTGTGAAGGCATATTTTCTCCTCCTCCTGGCCTGTGGGCATCGTACGTCAGATATTTTTGGCCTCTACGTTACCAGGACCTTGTACCATTCCTCCTACCTTATCCTTTATCTGGATCGTGTTTTCCTTCCCAAGACATCTGTGGCTTTAGAAGGTTAGTCCACTTTTCTCCCTGTCCTGGCATAGCCAGGTGGTTAGAGTGCTCAACTCGCAATCTGAGGGTCACGGGTTTGAATCCCCATCACACCAAACATGCTCGCCCTTTCAGCCATGGGGGCATTATAATGTGACAGTCAATCTCACTATTTGTTAGTAAAAGAGTATACCAAGAGTTGGTGGTGGGTGGTGATGACTAGCTACCTTCCCTCTAGTCTTACACTGCTAAATTAGGGACAGCTAGCACAGATAGCCCTCGTGTAGCTTTGTGCAAAGTTCATAACAAACAATCAAACCACTCTTCCCCCTGTATTGCTATCCTCTATCTCTCATCTCTACCCTTGTCTGGATCAAGATAGATTCCTCTGTCCTGTCCATGCCCTCCATTATTATATTGCTTACATGGCTTCCTTCTGGGGTCCTCGTTCCCACCTTTTTTCCCTTGGCAACCTTCCTCTTCCTGTGATCTTTTTTCAGTTACCCTAACCAATTGGGTTTGGTGTTTGATTCAGTTGGCCTATTCCTCCTTGTCTCCTTCCAGTGTGATCTCTTTCTTGTTTCCTCCCATTAAATCTATCCACTTACCTTCACCTTTGCCTCTTGTCTTCGTCGGCCATTGGAAGAGATTTTATGATTGGGTATGTGGACGACTTCGAACACGTTCATCTCCCATTACCTACACCACATTACCTTGACTCTCGTAAAGTGGAATGAATCTATAAAACACCAGAACTACTCTCAGTATCAAATTTTTTCATATGGCTGACCAATGATAAATTGGATTGGAAGAACTAAAAGTATCTCTGCTTCATATAACAGTCATAAAGTAGCCTAACTCTTGGAGTGATACTGAATACAGTACTATTATCCCATGAAACAGCAGAAAATATCCTGAACCAAGTCATATCATAGAGAGTAACACCTAAGGCTGATTTGGTATGTGGCTTAGTATAAATGTACTAGATTCTGAAATATATATCTATCAGCATTGACAAATTTTGTTACTGTATCATAAAGATATCTTCTTGGAGAATAGGATATGTGTGATAACTATATCACATGTTTCTCACTCTTTGAGAATTATGGAAGTGAGAGGTACATGCCAGTTTATTATTATTTCATCCATATGAGAAACAAAGCTTTAATCTTTTTATACATTTTGTAAATTTGTATTCAGATTTTGCTCTATAGTCTAGAAACTTAAGATATTAACAAATACTTACAAAATACCTTTGAAAATTATAGGTTTTATTGATAACAAGAAAATGTAACTTATTTATGTTTTTGTTTCTAAAACAAATATTAAACTTTTCAGTCAGGTTTGACACCTCTGCATGTAGCTTCATTAATGGGATATATGAATATTGTCATCTCTCTGATTCAAAGTGAAACAAATCCTGATATACAGACAGTACGAGGTGAAACACCACTTCACTTGGCTGTTCGTGCAAACCAAACTGGCATCGTGCGTATTTTGCTGCATAATGGGTCTGAAGCCAATGCTCGTGCAAAGGTAACTATCAAACTATTTTTAACTGATGGAAAGTAACTAGACATCTGATATGTAAGTATTGATACTAAATAGAAGATACCTCATTGCATCTTGTTTTGATAAAATAAATCGTTTTCTTCAAGTTTAGTAAAAAGGAAAAGTGGCTGTACTGTAAATTGAAATTGTAACTTAGTCGACAAGAGATGTTAAATCTATAAGGATTGTAAAATAACAAGTTTAATATACAGTAGTTATTTTTGCCAGATTACAAAAAAACTTTTTTTCAGCAAAATTTCTGAAGTCTGAGGGAAAAACTTTCACTAAACTCTTTAAATTTTTTCAAATTTCAAGATTTTTATAAGTAATCTATTTTAAGCTCTAAACTACCATTAAGAAATATATTTTCATTTCATCTTTAGTTAAATAATGTTATGTTAATAATAGTGCTGGGCCTAATGTATGAATAAACTGAATTTTTTAGAGTATTAATATTAATTCACGTACTCTTTATTAGTTTAATTTGAAACATGAATACTTTTTATTGAAACAACACACAAAAGGATTTTAATATAAACATTGCAGAAGTTTGCATTGCTTATGAGTAGGTGTAAACTAACTTCTTAATACTTGTTTCTGCTTTCCACAGTGTGAGACACCTTATGTCTCTCTTACATCATCTGTGTTACTCACATGAAAGCTGAAGATTATTTAAATGAAATTATATTTGTTTCACACTTTGAAGCTCTCTGTATTAATTTATATCTTTATAATCTAGAAGAACAGTAAGTTAACTTTCAGTTCATTAGCATTTTTATTTCAGTATAGCTTTACTTGGGTTAAACATCATCTGCCACATATTGGCCCAATGCATCAAATGATCTAAACCTCCCTGTATCTCTGCAGCATCTTTGATACAATTAGCCATCCCAAAAATCTTAATGTCATCTACCAACTTCAAAATCTTGTTTGTCATTTCAGAGTGAATATCATTAATATAAATCACAAACAGCAGAGGACCCAGCACAGAACCCTGAAGCACACTGCTTGTAACTGTGATCCAGTCAGATCTAACTCCATTTAATACTATTCTCTGCTTTCTACTCTCCAGCCAATTTTCTATCCAATTTAATAACATTTCCCCCACACCCACAGATTTCATTTTTGTAACAAGTCTTTTGTGAGGCACCTTATTAAACACTTTCTAAAAATCAAGGTAAACCAAATCCACATTATTTCCTTCATCAACTCTTGCAGTAACATTCTCAAAGAATGTCAGAAGATTTGTTAAAGAAGACTTTCCTTTAGTGAAACCATGCTGGCTCTTTCATACTGTATCAAACTGCTTTAAATGACTCTACAATGCATCTTTAATTACACTCTCCAAAACCTTTCCAACTACTGATCTAAGACTAACTGGCCTATAACTGCCTGGACAATGTTTGTCACCTCCTTTAAATATTGGATTAACATTAGCCAACTTCCAAACTTCTAATACTCTTCCACTACTCAATGACCTATAAAAACATTAGCTAGAGGTTCACAAATAAAATCTTTAAGTTCCTTTAAAACTCTAGGATAAAAGTTGTCTGGAACAGGGGATTTTTCAATTTTAGATTTCCCAACCTTTCTATTACAATTTCACAACTTAAAATGATATCTTTTACATCAGTATTTTCCCCATACATAAAGTGCTCTGGTTGAGGCATAATACTTGTATCTTGCTTTGTAAAAACTGAAGAAAACGTGTAATTTGATAAGTTTACCATCTCATATTCTTCCAAGATCAGCTCCTCACTGTCATTTTTAAGAGGCCCCATCCCATCCTAAAATTTTGCTTACCCAACATATATCTAAGAATTCCTTATTGTTTGATTTAACACTCTCAGCCAACCCTCTTTCCTATACAGTTTTTTGTCCTATTAACTTCCTTTTTAACCAGCTCTATTATTTCCTATAGTCCTCCAAGTCCTTATTATTATTTCCAGTAAGTTTAAATTTCTTGAATTTGTTATGTTTTTCCCTAATATTATCTCATAAATCTTAACTAAACCATACTGGCATGTTCCTCTCCATCGTTCTTTTTTTTTCTGTAGGAATATGTATGTTTTGTATGCGTATCAATTATTCCCTAAGTGTTTCCCACACACCTGTTAAGATCCCCTCCCAACTCTAGTACAATCTAAAGAAGCCAGATCACATCTCATTCCATCAAAATTGGCTTTTTAAAAATATGGAATCAGGGTACTATTCTTCAATTCTGTATGTAGTAAAATTCCAAACCTTATAGTGCAATGGTTGCTTGTACTTAAATGCTCACCAACCACAACTCTGTCTATCATATTCACATCGGATGCTAATATTAAATCTAATATAGCTTCCTCTCTTGTAAGTTACATCACCTGTTGTTGTATAAAAGTATCCTGAACAATTTCCAAAAACCTACATTTCTCCCTTTTCACCTCTGCAACTCTACCCAAAAAACCCTCCAACTTCTCCTCTAACCTGCACACCCTGCAAATAAATTGTACATCCTGGCTACTAGCCTCTCTAAAAGTACACTTTAACCAACTCTCCTGGCATCTATCACACTTTATCAACTGAGAACCCTTAGTAGCTAGACTATTCTTAACCATAGCTGGTAATTATATTGCTACAATTTAAATTGGAATACATTAAATACTGTGGTTGAAAAAAAAATCTTGGTGTTGTGATTGAAAAATCACTTAAGTCATCTAAACAGTATATTGTAGCCAGCAATAGGGCTTAATAGGATTTTGTGTAGTATCTATAGAAACATTGAATACAAGACAAGGGATATTATTGTTTCACTGTATAGATTACTTGTAAGGCCTCATTTAGAGTACTGTGTACAGTTTTGTGCCCCCTTCCTCAAGAAGAACATTGAATTGTTGAAGAAGGTTCAGAGAAGAGCCACTTGGATGATACCTGAGATGGTAGGATTGTCCTATGAGGAGAGACTAAAATCTCTAAACTTGTTTTCTCTGGAGAGGAGAAGGGT